TGACTCATTCAATATTATGTCTGGTCAATCAGACATCACAGCCCGTTTGATCAGATACCCTTTGGTGGTGTTTATCAATTTCCCTCTTGAATGTTGAGAGGTCAGCTGGAGTTATGCCCCCTCGTATTTAGAGGGAGTGTTGAAATGTCTTGGGCAGGGTTGTCTTCCCATAATTTTATCTAAAAGGCTTTCTTTTTAATCAGTCAGCAGGTTATTTAGCCAAAGAATTTTTTTCCAGAACAGCATCCTCCAACCATCTTAAATTCAGATCTCAAATTACAGTTGTTACCGTTTACAGCGACGGGGTGAAGGAACAGCCTTTATCGTCCCATTCGAGAGGATGTCTGCTAAGTGGCAAAAGTGTTCCTTCGAATTCCATTACGCCTACGAAGAAAAGCAACAGAACATGTTCTGGTGGGATATGTGAAGTGGAGGGAGACGCGGAGGGGGAGGTAGGGGGGGGAATGATGTCAGCAGCCATAGGAACGAATGAAAACGGTGGACAACTGGTAAGCTGTACAGCAGACTTATGCCCCTGTATGACAGTCCACGAGATTGGGAACTTAAGTTAACAGCAGACAGTAAGTACAATGCGGATGTACCGATGTTTATAATACGAGAGAGCTGGGCATGAAGACCGAAAAATAAGGACACCAAAATAAAACTAGAGACAACGGCAGGGGGATCCAAGTAAGGGGCCTAGAAGTGGGTGTAAGGGGCCTCGGCGCTCGGAGGGGTAAGAGGCACCAGTAAGGGTTGTGGTTGACCCCCACTGACCCTATAACGCACCTGGCAAATGTCACGCTTCACACTTGACCTCCTCTTAGAACCCTGATTTATAGGAGGCGGCTTAAATTACACTGGGGGGAGTTGTGAGTGGGGAAGAGAGGAAAAAGACAAGGGTGAAGGGGATAGAGGATAAGAGGGGACCGACCCGAAAGAGGAGATATCGTAATTAAGAAAAAAACAAGACTTAAGAAACCGTAGTCTATAAGAAAAAACAAACAAGTCTGTGGGAGAGATGAAAAAATATATACTGTACATTTACAACACAATCTCGCAAAACAAAATCAGTTCTGGGAAATCCGATAAAAAAAATTGATAGACAAATTATATTAAAATCCAATTAACCTAGCTTCTTAACACTCGTAGCCTAGCCTTTATTTATCCACTCACTTTTTAAATACAAAATATGTATAGTACTGTATACAAGGATATACTTTGGACACGAGACATATCAAGAAACACGCAACACCAAAAAAGCAACTGACAATCCAGACTAGTAACCAACGTGGCAAAAACGAAAAAAACATGATAAAGCTGATGGCAGCAGTGAAATCAGGGACAACCCCAAACAGCCTAAGTACCCAAGTGAACAGGAATGACAACCACAAGAATATAGTGAACACTTAATGAATAATACCCATACATACACGAGTTACACTACGCGACTACATGAAAACTATCAGCTAATCCTGTTGTGCATAATTGCTGCCGTGTAGAAAAAATATCAATACAATGTAATTGGTAAAAAAAAAAAAAAAATCCACACAAATATTAGTATTTCATTACAAAGGCAACATGTAAAATACTACACAACGAAAAATACATTAATAATAATTCATTGCGTTGGGGAGAAAGGTAGCCAGTACACATGATAGCACATGTTAGGCGTAAGTCAAGCACTCCAGCCCTCCCCAGGGTCGAATTACAAACCTTCCCCAGCTTGCAACCCCAAACAAGCTAACTCCTGGGAACCTATTTACTGTTAGGGGGGGGGGGAACAAGGGTACAAGGTGACAAAACGCGCCCAACCATTTCTGTCCCATCCGGGATTCGATCCCGAATTCTCGATTGTTACGAGGTAGAGAACGAACCCAACTGTACTTCCGAGACCCAATTATGAATGGTCTATGTATATGAAATGCAAATAACTTATAAAATTTATTGTTACATTGGTCGATATTGTGTGCAGTACTAATTAGCAATAATACTATTGTATTCATACAGTATACAGAGAACATGTGGTTATATGGTAGGCAAAATAATTTAATATTGGATAAATCCACCAGTTAGTTCACATTGGTTAACGTGTGCTTTAAGATTTAATACTAACAGATTGAACAAATACAGATGCCGCCTACTTCAATACAATTTAAGTCCTTTAATCCTTTTCAGAACGAAACCAAAAGTTAAAATTTTGAACTATCACTAATTACCAACGATGTCGCTGTAACACGTCTTTGGTTAAGTCTTATTTGAATTATACCATAAGACAATAGTTTCAGATGGCTAGTACCCTGCGAGTGTTTGATGACTTGACCAGTGCTTTTCCGTCTCAGGAATCCACCAAAACAAGATGGAGGCCCCGAGGCCAGCCAGCCAGAGACGCACTCACAATTTTTGAATCTTTACACTTTTTGAATATACGCTTGGTTGGGAGACGAGGAATCTGTTGCGATTCCTAATCATGATGTAACCATGTGACCCCCAGACTGATGAACTGAAGACGCGGCTGAAAATTCTGGTGTTTCAGCGGCGACTTTAATTTATTCTTCAGGAATGTGTGGGGTATATGTGCGTGGACACGTATACCCGTGGGTGTATACACACGTGTCAATGTCAAAATCTTTCGTGTGGGTTGCTAGACAATGCAACATTTTTGTTACTGACAAAATATATGACAGTTATGCCTACATATTCCTGTAGAAAAAAAAATGTTGAATATCAGACAGTTATGTCTATGATGAATCGCAACCAGCCAGCAAGTCTCTGGTCAATACAAAAATCTTCCCAGTCATTAAACTGCATCAAATCATCATTAACTGGCGTTACCAATATGCAAATATATCAACCTATAAATGGTATTTAACATTTATACTATACAACTCGCGTAGACTACATAGCAATAAAACTCGTCGTCCACAAAATTACACGTATATACAATATGTAAAACCCATACAAGGTTACCAAAATATGTTATGCATTGCCTAGGATTAGATGATAAATGTGAATTTAAAATGAATAAACTAACCTTTCAATTGTGACCAAAAAATGTAAGGCAGTCATTATGATGGTAAAAAATATATAAAAATGTTACGTGAATTTTTATTTATTTTGGGCATTAACCGGCCATTAATTATGGAGCGTATATGCATAGTCATAGACGCGCGAGCACATACAAGACGTGGTAAGCCCTGCTCCAGTCCTCATGCCACTGAGGAGTCAGAACTTTTATCCCTCAGGAATGTTGATATTCTCTTCAGCGCGTGCGTGGGTCCAGAAGACCCTGTGCGCAGGTCCTGACGCCACCAGCTGCCTGTCACGCAACAAGTTTGCCCACACCATTAAACTTTCTCCATGCAAAACATACTTTCGGAAGACGTTGATTATAAATCGGTATAATCAATTGAGGACTTAATATGCTAACAAATAAGCGGAGTATTACATTCTGATAAATCAGTGCAGTACACCTTAAGAATGACAGCTGTCAACTTTCCAGCTGTCCTTTCCCGCCAAAACTTAGGCAACCCCGCCGCCTACGCAAGTTTAAAAGATGTTGCCACCTAGTCACTTTCTACGGCATTCTTTTGCAAGATATTATGCGCTAGTTTTACACTAATATTTAAGTCCAATCATAATTATGCATAAACTATGGGAAACCTACTGTGCGTTTTGTACTTTTTTATTGTTAATTTCGATGGAAAAATGTATTAAAAATACTCTTAGTAATGCAACATTTGCAAACCTTGACCGGCATACCACCACGTGTTATGTGGTAAAACTCTAACCCTTATTTAAAAACACAAATCTAACCTTTCGTATTTCCCATTTAACTGTGTGTTACCTTGACAACGGCAAGTACGTTTCACAAATGGCTTCATAGGAGAAACGGTAAATCTATTATACACTAAAATATGAACAAATATTCGGGGAATACAGGCACCAGTCTTTTTGTCAAAACGCACAGCCTTGACGATTTAAGTTCCACTTGCTTCGTCCAACTGATAGAGACGTGTAATACGGCATTCGAGTGTGGTTCTTATTCAAGTTTAGATAATTATGTGATCACAGCACAGGTGAAATTACTAAACTCGGCTGATTTCAACAAAGCCGTTCATATGGCTGGCGTCATCTAGATGTGAATTAACTACAAATGTGTCACTAGCGCCAATAACATCTCTAACTGAACGCCAAAATTCTATAACTGGCAAACACAAGCCAACTACGCGCCACTCGTTATTTGTACACAAAGGGACTTGTTATTACTCCGCAGTGGTCAGCATCTGACTCGTGTGACATCATCCATCAGACTGCACTTGCCAACGAGCAGCACCAGTGGAGAACACTGACATGCGTCACCTCCCTCGTTACTTCTCGAGGTCACAGAGGTTACACGATGTATGATCTCCAGCTCCAGTTTGTGGGTGCAGGCCGGGCGACCTCACCTCACATCAAGCACCGAGAACAATGGCCAGGTGATCGAGAAGCGGAAAACTGCTGCAGGCTGTGTTGCCGCTACCCGAGGCAAGTAACAACCACGGAACTACAGTTAAATTGATATACCGCTCCAACCACAAGAAGAAATCCGTTCTGAAAACTACGAAGCAGCTAACCGCATACAGCTGCACCGGTGATACAGGTACCCAATGTGGTACTGGATAAATGCAAGAACTTGTGCAAGGGTGCAGCGGTGCACACCCACGCTACCTTGTCTCTTGGATCTCCAACAGACAAAAGTTGCATTATTAATTATACCGTGAGGCGTGGTTAACTTTTATCATCCTCGGGTAAATCAGGTAAAAAAACATCTTTTGTGTGAGCGCAAGTGGCCGGTTAATGTACTAGTATGTACTGGTAAGGGAACGAGTACAAGTGGTTGCGTCAAGGTAACCTTGTTACTGACTTGTGGCAAGGCGGCCGTGTGGTGCAACAAGCTGGCACGCGCACGCAATTACCCAAGACACTAAGTGTGTCTCAAGACGTGATCTGGTACTCACTTGAGGTAGTAAATTTGTCCCTGTGGAGTCCTGGCTTGTTCCCAGCCCGGGGGAAGACTACCCATGTCATCGTTGAGGTCGTAACTCTGCTGCTTCAGATGTGCGACCTGTGGCTGCTGCTGAGCCACGGCGAACGTCTGCTGCAGCGAAGCTGGCGACGAGTGGTGGCGGAAGTGCTGATGGGCGGCGTTAGGGGATATGGCGCCCGGCACCCTTATGGCGCCCACGCCATTCCCGATGTAGGTGGAGTCCGCAGAACCCTCCCGAGAATGGGTGACGGTGGGGGCGGGGGACTGACGGTGGGCGGGGGGCGTGAAGAAGGATGCGGGTAGATTGCGCATCTTGAAGGGCTTCTGCAGGGGCACCTGGCTCGAGGGCTTCAGCACCACCTCGAACAGGGCCTGCAGCTCGCTGTCACTGTCAGCACGCACATGGACAATTTGACTGCCCCGCTGCTCAATAGGGAGCGAATCATCCTTGTTCGAGCTGGCCATCTTGGCTACTTAAGGTCAACACTCACACCGAACCACACACCATAACACACACCTCCTCTCCCTCTGGCTGCTCCCTGTGTACTGAGGAACAGGAATGTGTGGCCTGCGCACCCGACCTGCGCAGCCTAGTTCAGGCTCACGCCGCCAGCTGGCACCACTGAACCACATGCTTATCTGGAATAATATTTACTCTAAGACAGCAGTTATTCTTCTTATTAATTATTCACTCTCTTAAGAAAGACACATTGTTAGATATTTAAAATCAGTTCCATTGTTTTCAATAAACGAAAAACGGGTATCTATGAATAACAGTTCTGTGGATAATGTATTGAAAGCATGTCCACTTTCTTTTCCCACGCAAATTATAAATATAAGCAAATACCACAAAGGTAAAAACACTAAGTACTCGATGTCGTTAGTTATTCCAATCAATGTTTACTTAAACACGTTATGATATAATGACTTTGGTACTCAGTATGGCAAAAAACATTCGCTCAATGTTTCGTCAGGCGGTGTGAAGGTTTGCAGGTCACAGGTACCAGAGCAGACATTCAAGACGGTCAGCAGCCGAGCTCTAGACATTAGCAGCCGGACCCTCAGCCGCCAGCAGCCGGGCCCTAGACATTAGAAGCCGGACCCCCCGACGCCGGGTCCTAGACACTAGGAGCCGGACCCCCCCAGACACCAACAGTGGGACCCCTAGATGCCAGAAACCGGACCTTCAAGACTCCAGCAGTCAGGCCTTCTAGACGTCAACACCTGGAACCCTCAGACGCCACCAGCCAGGTGGCGTCTGAGGTGATCAAGATCCTCCTCCAGACACCAGCATTCAAGACCCCCCCCCCCAGACACCAGCATTCAAGACACCCCCCCAGACACTAGCATTCAAGACCCCCCCAGACACAAGCATTCAAGACCCCCCACAGACACCAGCATTCAAGACCCCCCACAGACACCAGCATTCAAGACCCCCCACAGACACCAGCATTCAAGCAACCCCCCCCCCCAGACACCAGCATTCAAGACCCCCCCCCAGACACCAGCATTCAAGACCCCCCCACAGACACCAGCATTCAAGACCCCCCCCCAGACACCAGCATTCAAGACCCCCCCACAGACACCAGCATTCAAGACCCCCCCCCCAGATACCAGCATTCAAGACCCCCCCCAGATACCAGCATTCAAGACCCCCCCAGATATCAGCATTCAAGACCCCCCAGACACCAGCATTCAAGACCCCCCAGACACCAGCATTCAAGACCCCCCAGACACCAGCATTCAAGACCCCCCAGACACCAGCATTTAAGACCCCCCAGACACCAGCATTCAAGACCCCCCAGATATCAGCATTCAAGACCCCCCAGATATCAGCATTCAAGACCCCCTCAGACACCAGCATTCAAGACCCCCCAGATATCAGCATTCAAGACCCCCCAGACACCAGCATTCAAGACCCCCCCCCAGACGCCAGCATTCAAGACTCCCCCCAGACACCAGCATTCAAGACTCCCCCCCAGACACCAGCATTCAAGACTCCCCCCCCAGACACCAGCATTCAAGACCCCCCCCAGACGCCAGCATTCAAGACCCCCCAGACACCAGCAGACCCCCCCCCCCCAGACGCCAGCAGCAGGACCCCCCAGACATTCAGCAGCCGGGACCCCCCAGACGCCAGCAGCCGGGACCCCCCAGACGCCAGCAGCCGGGACCCCCCAGACGCCAGCAGCCAGGACCCCCCCCAGACGCCAGCAGCCAGGACCCCCCCCCCAGACGCCAGCAGCCGGGACCCCCCCCCCCCAGACGCCAGCAGCCAGGACCCCCCAGACGCCAGCAGCCGGGACCCCCCCAGACGCCAGCAGCCAGGACCCCCCCCCAGACGCCAGCAGCCGGACCCCCCCCAGACGCCAGCAGCCAGGACCCCCCCAGACGCCAGCAGCCGGGACCCCCCCCCAGACGCCAGCAGCCAGGACCCCCCCCCAGACGCCAGCAGCCAGGACCCCCCCCAGACGCCAGCAGCCGGGACCCCCCCAGACGCCAGCAGCCGGGACCCCCCCAGACGCCAGCAGCCGGGACCCCCCCAGACGCCAGCAGCCAGGACCCCCCCCCCCCCCCCCCCAGACGCCAGCAGCCGGGACCCCCCCCCCAGACGCCAGCAGCCGGGACCCCCCCAGACGCCAGCAGCCGGGACCCCCCAGACGCCAGCAGCCGGGACCCCCCCAGACGCCAGCAGCCGGGACCCCCCCAGACGCCAGCAGCCGGGACCCCCCCAGACGCCAGCAGCCGGGACCCCCCCAGACGCCAGCAGCCGGGACCCCCCCCCAGACGCCAGCAGCCGGGACCCCCCCCCAGACGCCAGCAGCCGGGACCCCCCCCCCAGACGCCAGCAGCCGGGACCCCCCAGACGCCAGCAGCCGGGACCCCCCAGACGCCAGCAGCCGGGACCCCCCCAGACGCCAGCAGCCGGGACCCCCCCAGACGCCAGCAGCCGGGACCCCCCCAGACGCCAGCAGCCGGGACCCCCCCAGACGCCAGCAGCCGGGACCCCCCCAGACGCCAGCAGCCGGGACCCCCCCAGACGCCAGCAGCCGGGACCCCCCCAGACGCCAGCAGCCGGGACCCCCCAGACGCCAGCAGCCGGGACCCCCCAGACGCCAGCAGCCGGCCAGACCCGCCAGCAGCCAGGATTCCCCAGACGCCAGCAGCCGGGACCCCCCAGACGCCAGCAGCCAGGATTCCCCCAGACGCCAGCAGCCGGGACCCCCCAGACGCCAGCAGCCGGGATTCCCCAGACGCCAGCAGCCGGGACCCCCCAGACGCCAGCAGCCGGGACCCCCCAGACGCCAGCAGCCGGGACCCCCCAGACGCCAGCAGCCGGGACCCCCCCCAGACGCCAGCAGCCAGGATTCCCCAGACGCCAGCAGCCGGGACCCCCCAGACGCCAGCAGCCAGGATTCCCCAGACGCCAGCAGCCGGGACCCCCCCAGACGCCAGCAGCCGGGACCCCCCAGACGCCAGCAGCCAGGATTCCCCAGACGCCAGCAGGCGGGACCCCCCAGACGCCAGCAGCCGGGACCCCCCAGACGCCAGCAGCCAGGATTCCCCAGACGCCAGCAGCCGGGACCCCCCAGACGCCAGCAGCCAGGATTCCCCAGACGCCAGCAGCCGGGACCCCCCCCAGACGCCAGTAGCCGGGACCCCCCCAGACGCCAGCAGCCGGGACCCCCCAGACGCCAGTAGCCGGGACCCCCCCAGACGCCAGCAGCCGGGAACTCCCAGACGCCAGCAGCCGGGACCCCCCCAGACGCCATCAGCCAGGATTCCCCAGACGCCAGCAGCCAGGATTCCCCAGACGCCAGCAGCCAGGACCCCCCAGACGCCATCAGCCAGGATTCCCCAGACGCCAGCAGCCGGGACCCCCCAGACGCCAGCAGCCGGGACCCCCCAGACGCCAGCAGCCGGGACCCCCCAGACGCCGGCAGCCGGGACCCCCCCAGACGCCGGCAGCCGGGACCCCCCCCAGACGCCAGCAGCCGGGACCCCCCAGACGCCATCAGCCAGGATTCCCCAGACGCCAGCAGCCAGGTCCCCCCAGACGCCAGCAGCCAGGATCCCCCAGACGCCAGCAGCCAGGACCCCCCCAGACGCCAGCAGCCAGGATCCCCCAGACGCCAGCAGCCAGGATCCCCCAGACGCCAGCAGCCAGGATCCCCCAGACGCCAGCAGCCAGGACCCCCCAGACGCCAGCAGATAACACTATGAATATTGGAGGCCCGCGAATCTTCATCTTATTTCTACCAATAAGAAATTTTACAGGAACACGAGTGGTTGTTTTAAACGTGAAATTGGAAAAATATCTTCCCACGAAGTGCCTCGTCAGTCGGGTTGTAGTGGACATGTGGACCTGCGGACCGCTGCAAGTAACAGCTGTACCTATCAAGTTACCACCAGCGCCTGCCTCCCGGAGAAGGATATAGAGGAACATTCAAAGAAAATTTGTCGTTTGTTTCTGATTTCTTGGGTATCTTTTCTTACTTAAACCATTTTAAACTGAACTTATTGTAAATATTGTGTAGAGTATTACATAATTTGTGTGGGGCACTGACATTATTTGTAACGGTAATATGTATAAATGAAAAACAGACCAACAGTGAATTAATAGACGACACAAACCATCTTGACAACTATTGTAAATCAAACACTTCACATTGCTCTGGGGTTGGTCACGTGCCCAAGATGCAGGTGGCATTTCCTCTTTGAACCGCGACAATGAGACGTAGGAACAGGAAACTTGTTGCTCTTTGGTCTTTTGTGATGCCAATTAGTTTGTTGTCCAATTCCTTCAGGAACTTCAATGCACATTTCACCCAGGAACCAAGGGTTTCCGAGCCAATCAGAATATAGCAGAAGCAATGTACTAGACGTTCAGAAGCAGCACCACCACCTTGGATTGCACTGTACTGAAGGTAGGTACTGGCCAATGTTGATGTGCATGTGTAGTCCCACACCACTAGCTACTTATCCTTCCAGGGAAGTTTGACGATCCCATCTGGATGCTTCAGAGTGCTGTTGGGTCTGTATAGACGGGATTCTCTGTGTCGGGCAGAAGTCTGTGGCGAGGTTCCTCTTGATGTCGTCGTTGACTTCATGTCTTGCAATCTTATGTGATTTACGACATCAGACCATGTTCGCCGTATTGATCTGCCATCACACTTCCGCAGATGCGCCCGTGTTCGGTAAATATGGATGTGACAAGGCAACGAGCTACTACAATACTGATTTAGGCGAGTTTCTAGGGCTGGGTTGGATACAGTAAATATAAAATCCCCAGCATAGGGCGCTCTTACCGTTAGGAGGCGGGCTTTGTTTTCAACAGATGCATTTTCAAGCATTGAGGCAATCTTTTCCATTATGAGACTATCCTAGTGAGCTTGTCTGAGGTATTTTGGGGGCTAGAGGTCAGGGAAAGGAGTGCGCAATGATTTCCCTCTAACTGGTTCCTTCGATGTTCCTCGGAGCGTGAGCTCCTACAGTCTCATACGCTCAGGTAGGATCTTCCCTGCTAATTCGCTGGCAACGGTGCACGAGGATAATGC